CTTGCAAGTTTTTTATTTATAACATTGTAGAACGACGGACACATTTGCCTCGATTCTCTCCAATTCCCGTTCAGCAGAAGAAAAAAAAAACATACGAAGTTGAGTATGAGAGGAAATGAGCGCTTATTATTCTCTTTTAGCCTGTCCTTATTCCGAAGCACGGAGAGTGGAGAAAGCACGGGCCTGATAATCGCACCGTTCGTGTTTCGAGTCCCTGTCAGCAACCTTCTTTTTTCGACATGATCACATGATCTTACATTCTTCGATTGGGTGTATATTAGGCTGATGCAAAATTTGACTTTTTCGCTCCACAGTGCTCAAATGGTTTCAAATCGAGTCCTGATTAGCCTCCCAAAGTTACAACTCATTTGGTTGGAAACAGACTTCGCACAAGCCATTTGAAGTTTACATGTAAATTACTATGGGAAATCTCAACTTTTTGTTCATTGCCCTCTAGTCTTTTTCCATATTGAGCTGCAAAACAGTTCGATAGCCATTCTTATAGAAAATTTTCTCAGCTACAACTTTGCTCAAGCTTCTTTCTTTGTAAAACGAGACATGAAAAAGTTATTAATTATTTAAGAGATTGGTAAACTTATGACATGATCAAGCAGCTGCTCTGTAGGCAACACTGTATTTGACATAGTAGCCATGATTTTTGTGTCCTATTCAACGCCCCAGAAACACCAATGTTGCCTGCTGAGCAGTTGATTGAGCATGATCATAAGACATCAGTGCATTGAACCATTGATAACTTTCGATCCTTGCATTTAATCAAAAAGTGGTCTTGAGCAAAGTTTTAGCTGCAAAAATTTCCTACAAGTACAGTTGAAAGCTTTTGAAGCAGACAGATATGGTGAATTATTAGATAGACATGAACAAAAATCTTGGTTTTACCATAGTAATTCACATACAAACTTCAAATGGTTTGTGCCATCTCAGTTTCTCACCAAATGGTTTCAAATTTTGAGAGGTTAGTCAGAATCCTATTTGAAATCGTTTAAGTACTGTGGAACGAAAATTTTAAATGAACATATGATGAACATATTTCTTCCGTAGTTTCAGTATTGATTTTGACTGGAAGACAATTCGGAAAGAGATCAATTGGCTTATCGCAAAAGAGTGCAAACCGAGAAAATCTATATCCATATTTCTTCGAAGAAGAAAATCATAGAAATTTACAATTATGGAGCTTAATATTTTTTTTTTTTTTTAATTTTTCGGCTTACACAAATTTTCAAAATTCTTAATAATTATAATCTTAACACATTATACACACAAAACAAATGGCATGAACACCAAATGTAATTGTCGGTTTCTTACATCCGTGATTATCCAAAAGATATTTGAAAAAGATTTAAATAATCCAATGTAATCAGTATTGTCATTAAATTCCTGGGAAAATTTAAATGTAAAAATTTGGTTTTTAAAAAAGTTCGGTTCTAAACAATATCCAAAGGTAAATTTTTGTGGGGTTTTTTTGGGTCCAACTTAGTGCTATGATGACATAGAAAAAAATGTTTTTAAATTTAATGTTTCTTAAGCAAAATAAAAAAAAAACTGCGTTTTTCGATGTTTGATATCTATTTCTGATATTTTGGAAAAAATAATTAAATTTAAAAAAAATCTAGCAACGGTGCATTGAGGACACACACAAATTTAGCTAACATAAAAATTGCAAACTATATTAAAAATCGACCACATTGCACAATCTGTTCATGCGGTGGAATATTTGCAAATGCTGCATGCTATTTATGTAAATTTGAAATAGAATTTTACATTTCTTGGTTGCACGGGAATTCACTATGTACTTCTGCCCCCTCCGTCTAAACCCATAATTTTTTTTTGTTATAGTAATTTCAACGCTCTTGGGTCATTCATGACTTGTCCGGGGGTGAAATTTGAACTCGTGACTTTGGCATGAGAGGTATGGATGCTAACCACTACGCTGGGGTCGCTCCCTACACCCATGATTGTAATGTCTAATAAATGCGTTATCGAATTCACCCCGTTGACATGTCACCCTTATTGAGGACCATTTTTACCTACCCCTCACTACGTCGCTGATTGTTAATATACAATTATATATATGCTATAGCACGTTCAGACTTCAGAGTTATAACATGTTATAGTGCTATCTTGATGGTGGTTTCTGTGTTGCAATTATTTGACAACCGTTATAACATGTTATAACTCTCCAGTCTGGACAGTGTTTAACACAGCAAAAAAATAATGTTGATATCCCATCAAAGTGGATGCACTTCAATCGTGTCAAAAATATGGTGTAATATTGCTTGCCAAAAAGTACAAAATTATCATTAATACAGTGCATGAACTGGCATTACGCTGCTTTTACTGCATTTGTTTAATGGCCATAAAAATTACAAGAGATTTTCGACATGATTGAAGTGCAGCCTCTTGGATGTAATATTAAAATCTTTTTTTTTGCTTTGAATATAATTATAACATTTATTCCTATTCTAATTTACCCTGGCATTTTATCTTTGCACAATAACATCTTTTATGAAAGTTATATCATTTCGAACTCTCTCGATTTTTCAGACCTGCTAAATCAATCAACATACATTGCGATTCATAAGATAGCTGAGGTTAAAATCTTCAACCTAAGTTTCTTTGAGCAAACTGTAAAAACTGTTTTTAAACTTTGGCCAAATGACTGTCGGCGAACCGATCCGCTCTTATTTTCATATTGCAGCCCATTCATTGTCCCATACTAACTTTAAAATTGTAGCTTCCAAATGCCTTGAAGAGTTTTTGCCAGCCAATGTTTGCGATTTGCTATACAAACTTGACTCGCTCCACTCATTTTGATTCAGTAACAGAATTTTAAATTGTGATATTTTCTACATCCTACGGGGAAACGTAAGATTCTATTACAGATTTGCATAAAAAGCATGCAAAAATTGTAATGTTTCATCGCATGAACAGATTTTGTAATATGATCGTCGGAAGGTTTATTAGATAATTTTGAAATTTTTATGATAGCTACATTTTTAAATTCCCCATCATCTCGTGAAGGTTTTTTGCGAAAATATTAATTCTACAAAAACTTATTTGTACGCTACAGTACATTGAAAGAAATCCTATACCATTTATTGTAAGAAAATATGTAGAGGATGTAAAAAAAAACGACATTTGATGTTCATGCCATTTGTTTTGCGTGTACTTTTAATAGTGTCTTAGGCCAAATGTATGCAAGTAACTGACAAATTTAATTGTGAATTCTCAAACACATAACCATGAAACATCTTCCAGCTTGCGAGCCAATATGGTAAAGATCTACTTAATCATATGGGACCCATTTCCGTCATACGACATTAGATGTCAAGTCAATTGACTTACTTAAGAGGGATATGTCGAAGTGAAGTGAAAGGTGTCCAATTGTCTAAAGCAG